GCGTTTTTAGAAATACCTACGGACGATTGACTGATTATAAAAGTAACGAGGATAAGTAAAGTTAGGTACATATGTCTTCTTTTAAAACAGTATGCACTTCTGAGTAATTTTAAAAGTAATTAGATATATATGTCTAATTGTAAATATCCCTTTAGCGTATGGGTTATTTTAAAGCGAACTAAAAACATATATCTTTGTAAATTATTCACTTGCAAAGAAAGACGTTAGCTTTATATTCCTTTTATTTTCGTTTAATAATTGATGGTATATTCATTTGAACGTAATATAATCAGTACATAAAATATATCAAATAAATATTGTACTAATATAGCCTTTAAAGCAAATAATTCATTAAATTATTAAAGTAAATTACAACACAAATGATCAGGGTAAATCAAATTCTTTAATGTTTACACAAATATTCTGATTTTTCAGTTGTCGTAAAAAGGTATTATTTCACAGAACAAATTAATAAACCATCAAAATATGGATCACAAAAATACTCCACATAATCCAATAAGTAAACAGACCGAATTTTGAATACAATTTTTAAATTATGCCGATTTGTTGATAAAAAATCTAGATCTTATATATTTTATTGTATTTGCTATAATACTATAAACACATAAACTGTTTGCAAAACACAATAGATAGTTATGAAGAAAAATGACCCAACCAGCTGAGCCTAGAATGTGTATTTCGGTATTCCTTAAATTGCAAATGGATGGAACATGTATTTCTGTAGGTTCAGCAGGTTTGGCGTTTGTTTCATTGATTTAACTAATGAATTATCCACAAAAGAATTCCAACTATAAACAAATAATCACCTGTAGGGATCTGTGTTTAATATTTTTTACTAATCGATAATCGTGGAAAATCGAAACTTGGTTCGAAACACAGGTATGTATGATTCTAAATATAGTGACGTTACAATTAGGAATTTGTTGTGAACTATAAGAAATATAAAACCTGTTGTTTGCGCTCAGTATAGAGAAATCAATTTATCAGAAATAAAGAAAAGAACCGGTAAAAATATAAAACATGAATTATTAATTGGTTAAAAGTAACCCTTTAAAAAAATAAGAAGCATGGATTTTAGAGCTAAAATAATGCAATGTCAAAGTGATTCCTGCACAGAATTTGTACATATTGTTACTTATTCTTTACCGTTGACACAGAGTTCTGTATACTGATCAAAAACACCTGATTGTATATTTATTCCAACCTCATTGACAACACGCAAATTTTTTTATAGAAAATCATAAAAAAACCTCTACATAATGTTACAACAAATAATATTAGCACATATTTATTATTGGGGAAACGCACCCTGTATTTCCAGCTATCTAGATTAAAGGCATCTAAAACAATGTCCTCTCACCCTGCTGCGAAACTGGCCAGTTACCTTAAGACTATTCAAAGAATTTATTTAGGTGTCGAGTATACATGTAGTTACGTATTCGAGATGTCCAGCACCTCGTTTCAGTGAACACTAACATCAAGAAACATGGTACATACATACAGTTACAATTGGTACTGTACAGGAAGGCCCAACTAGAGAACAAATAAAGCTCTTGGGAAGGGCATAATTGGATGACAGAGTAAAATATACAGAAAGGTTTATACTAATGTTTTAATTAAATAATGATGATAAGCATGAAGCTGAAGAAGATATACCAAAATAAATAAAATGAAGATGGATGATAAAATTGTTTAAAAAATTTCTTATGTTTCGTACGATTAAAAATACATAAATATGAATGCATTAAGCTTGGTAAGCCTTTAACTACAATCAAGTTCAAAAACAAATATCCGGACAAGGAAAACCTGCTCGTAAATCAAGTTGATTGATTATTGATATTGATTGCAAAAATACTTTTGACAAAACTTAGGTAGATACGACAGATCAATCTCTACCAAGACAATTATGCGCAAGAAATTTTAAGGTACTAGTTCCTAGGACGAAATAACACTTGTGTGAGAGGTGAAACAGGAATGCAATTTTTTATCACTGCTATGCTCTCTTGTGAATTTTTTATGTTATTTCCTATCTTAAATAGGAATTAATCAAAATTTCAGTTAAAAATACGTTTATTTTGACGATGCGCCCGAAGTGGAAATCGAACCGTCAAAATAAACATATTTTCAACTGAAATTGTGGTTATTTCCCATTTAAAATAGTTTTCCTCTGCTATTAAACGCATACTCTAATTTTTCCAAAGTACTATGTAAAAGAACAAAATAAAAGTTGATATTTAGACCTTCCTGTATAATTTACTCTATTTTATGTTAATTTTAATAAATAAATACACATTTTAAGTAAATAGCTTTAAAAAAGTCATTATCATCAACAAGCATATTCTAAATCAACGGCAACAAACGACAAAATATATACATAGATGATCCTAGGCTGATTTTCAAATCTTTCCGCTTGTGTGTGTGTGTTATATGATAAATTAGTATTAACTGTTTTAAAGTCCAATTATAATTTTTTTACAGATATGTGCCATGTTCTTCAACAGACATGATGACTTTATAGAAACAGCTCGTGATATGTATTCACACTTTTTTTATATATTTATGCCAATAATTTTTTCAAATATTTAACAAATTTTTGCAACTGATATTTTCCATAAAAAAAAATATTAAAATAATATTTTGTAAATTCTGTTTTAAGTTAAAAGCTAGTACATTTGCAACACCCTTTTAAGTTTTCGAAATACTGCTAATTATTTCTATCCACAGTTGAGCTTTAGCAATATATGGAAAATCTATTCATTGATGTGAATAGTTTGGGATTTGGGATATTCCGTTTTTCCGTATGACTTGAATTTATTTTTTAATTTTTAATATACTATCTTTTGCAGGGACAGACAACTGATTAGATGGTTCGGAAGATAATCAACAAGTACAAGAGCAACAAAGTACAAACTTTATAAAACAATAATACGCCCAGTGCTCACTTACGGATCGGAAGCATGGTCAATGACGGTCCAAGACAAAGAGTTACTACCAATCTTTGAAAGAAAAGTATTGAGGACCATATATGACGAAGTTAACGAATAGGGAATGTGAAAAAGGCGATATAATTTGGAACTCTTTTGGTGATGCCGATATAGTAAAAATTATCAAAATAAACCACTTAGAATGGGTGGGCTACATTATGCAGATAGATGAAAGTGATCCTTCTAAAATAACCATGCTTAATACGTGGGTTGGAAGAAGAAGGGGGCGACCTAAACTCAGATATCTAGACGATATGCAGGACGATTGGAGTAAGCGGATGGAGAAGAGAGACAGGCTCACGAAGGGCTGTAGCACCAACTGATAATGTGTATAGTGAAAAAGATAAGAATAGTTCCTACAGTGGCCTAATGGTTCTTACTATTACAAAATGTGGCACATTACCTGTTGGATCCATGTAGAACTATGGAAAGACTAACTGAAAATCGCCCATAAAAAAATTGAAAACAATAGAAAAAAAATTAAGTAGGGAACTTATCAGAGATTATTATCAATAATCTCTGATATTTGGTGAATCAAGATATTTGGTGTTTAATCCCAAAATACTAACCATCGTAATCTGTATTTGTGACAGGATATTGTTTCTTTCGTCCGTTCATCTATTATTACATCAATATATCAAAAGTTATGCAACTACAACTCGGAGTGTATGTAAATACGTTCAATATAGTTTGAAAAGTTTTTTAGTGTAAACTATGAATACTAAAGATATACACATGTAAGACCCCTAACGGGAGTTAGAAGGCGAGCTTCAATGGTGCCTGGAAGAACTTTGGTCAGGGAAATTAAACTACAATTCTGAAAAATAAGAAAGTGGATCCGAAACTAAAGATGCCGTTCTAGAAGAATTTAATTACATAGTTCATAGATGAACAAATAGCAAGAGGAGAGAATATTACCTTTTTTAGTTTGTAGATCGAAATAAGTAGGTCGCTCACTAAACTGCCTAATAAGGATTCTTAATCTTTTATTTTATTTAAAATATACTTTATAAATAAATGTGTCTTTTTTTTCAATTTTCTCGGAAGCGAACCTAAAAATGTCTGTATATGTTTTTGAAAGTATTTTCTTGGGGCATTTCCATTGTGTAATAAACCAATGTTAACTCAAAATAAGTTTATATTTCACGTTTCATTTCCATCGGAAAAATAAACATTTTCTGTGCATTTTGAATTAAATTACTTTTACTTACTCCCATTAAATATAGCAGATAATTTTGCTACAGAAATATCGAGATATACGTCTGTTACTGTTTTTATTAATTTTGAAAAGGCATTCGATAAAAGACATCATGACAAGCTAATGAAAATATTAAGAGATAAAGAAGTTGATAGCGGCAATGAGGATTATTGAAAAATTATATTGGCGGCAAACAGCGAGTCATATGAATGAGAAGTCGACAGAAAAATGTAGGATTCTAAAGGAGGTCAGGTAAGGTTATGTGCTGTCCCCATTGCTCTTTAATTTATAATCAGATAGAATCTTTAAACGTGCTTTACACACCTTGGAATATGGAGTACACATTAATGGCAAACTGATCAATACTGTCAGATACGCAGAGGACACAGTTATATTGAGTGATGACTTAAATGGATTGCCATCCCTCCGAGAGGTGTGAAACCTTAATGTTCCATCATGGTCGCAAATTCTGTAATGATATTAGGATTCGTGCCGGAGTGCCATCCATAAGCAAGCAACTAAGGCAAATAAAGCAGCCTCAGTCATCCGGAAACTACCAAAATGTTTAACGAAGATCTGAAAAGCTCCAGTGCGCGAGCACGAGCGAAGCAGCGAGGGAAAGGATGAAGTATCTGTTGAAGCAAAACCTTGGTGCAAAAGAGAGCTCGGTGCAAAAGAGGGCTCGACGCAAAAGAGACCCAACAGCAGATTCTAAAACCTATCCAAAAGCCACAAATATGGACAAACATGTTTTATTATACACATTTGCTGACGCAACTGATTTTATTTTTTTTATTGAAAAATAGTGTAAATACACAAAATTGAACTCTTTGCTAATCGGAATAATTGCCTTTTTTTTGTTGCAAAAAAACACATTTTTGTTGCAAATTTTCTATAATAATGTGCCAAAAATATCGGTAGAAATATATAAAATGTAGCCGAAATAATATTTTATCACTACACACTGTTTGACAAAACGATATAACGAATTGAATTAAGTAGTTCAGTAATAACTTCCAGACAATAATGTCCGAAATTTGTGCATTCTTAATTTAAATCAAGAAGGCACATCTCTTAAATCTAACCATTGCATATCATCATCGAATCTTTCTACTCTCACCTTCTGTCTGTAATGATACTCTTTTAGGTAAGTTTTAAGGCTCTTCGGCAGTTGAAGGTGGTTAATATCGTCGTATGTCAGTTTCGACGATACTATAACAGCTCGTGCTAGATGCTGTAAAGAAAAGGTGAATTTCCTGTGTAATGGAAAGGTCAGTAGAGGTTCGAAAAACATACAACTAGTAGGATCTTTGTAGTGTTCGATTAAGCCATACACTGTTTTGGAGGTATATACTCCCGGATCGTGTGAATCGAAGCTGAACTTGTGATTCCATTGCTCTATTCTGGCGTGTAAAGATCTACCGTACCTTCTAAACGACACGCTAAATAAAAATTCTTCTTGGGCGGAGTCTCGAAGGAGGAAGGTGCCTTCTGGTTTTCCGTCCAACAACCGTTCGGCTTCGTATCGATCCATTTTACCTAAAAATCAAAATAGCCATTTAATTAAAAATACCAAATCGGCTTAGATATACACTGAGGTAAAATAATCATAATCGTCACTCAAAGTTAATACTAATAATTTGTGAAGTGAAAGCACTTAATTGGTTTATATGGGATTAAGCCACAAATTATTGGTTGTAAAGTCCGTTTTACAACTTGCAATTATACCTGCAAGACGCAAGAAAGTTGCCTAAAGGCATGCGCAGTATGTCGTCAGCTGATTATTTCCTGCTTCTTCTTCTTTAAGTTCCATCTTTTATCGAAGGTAGGAAATCATCATGGCTATGCGGACTCTGTTGACTGCCGCTCTAAAAAGTTCTGCACTACTGCATTCAAACCATTCCCTTAAGTTCTTAAGCCAGAAAGGTTTATAACCAATGTGTTTTACCTGTACAAACTTATGGAGCAGAGACTTTAACACACGCAAAAATCTGCGAATAAACTTAGAGTTACACAACGAGCCATGGAACGTGCAATGCTGAACGTGAGCCTTCGAGACCACATAACAAACCAACAAATCAGGCGAAGATCAGAAGTTCAAGACGTCATCGAAAGAACCACGACGCTTAAGTGGAACTGGGCAGGGCACTTAGCCAGAACACAAGATGGACGGTGGACAAGACGTATTATGGAATGGAGGCCCAGAAATTATAAAATAAGCCGAGGACGACCACCGACTAGATGGACCGATGACATTAAACGTGTAGCTGGAAACTGGCTACAAGCGGCCCAGTGTAGAGAACACTGGAAAGAACTGAGGGAGGCCTATGTCCAGCAGTGGACGCAATTGGCTGATTGATGAATCTCATATTCAAGAGTTTTAACAATTCTGCTGTGAATTATTTTCAAAAATGTTTAAGTGTGTGACTCATTAAAGCTATTGTTCTGTGGTCTGAGCAAGTTGTTGAACTTGGTTTTTTGGGAATTGCTACAAAGGTTGATTGCAGCCATTGTCTGCGGATTGTGGCAGTCCCCAGACAATGACAGATTATTTCCTACAACTTCTTGAAATTGCGCGATAATCGGTTTGGTGCCAGTTTCTCTGCAAGTTTTCATGCAAGTCTAGGGAAATTTGTAGGAAGTTTGATTTTTCCACAATGTCAATGGTTTTATCCACCATCTCCGTTCTCGGCGTTCTAAACTAGTAACTAAAAGGCTGGCTGCAGATATAATAATACTTAAGGTTGCTGTTACTGCCTTTTTCCGTTTATATTTGGCTATTTTAATAGTCTTGGCATTTCGAAATTCACTAAATAGTGTTAAATAAACAGCAATAAGTAATTACAAAAAAACCAAAGTTTATAAGTTCGGTTAAGGGTAAAAATTTCAACATTAATTAAATAAAGTTGATAAAAATAGATAAAAGTTAGTCATGCAAGAAATTGCAGCACTTGCGAGTTGTAAAGCGGCCTTAACGAAAATCTCATTTTTAACTAACTAGTGTTTGACATTTCGACTTCTACTCCAGAATCGTTCTCAAAAAATATTATAAAAAATTATGGGAAAATGTATAACCAAAACTATTTGTTATTATCTTATATCCTTTCAAAATTGACATACTTGGCCTCGTCTTGTAGGCAGCAGCATGTAAATGGCTGAAAACATCGTAAGTGCAGTGTTAGGAATATCAAATTCTGACTGTTTTGTTTTATGCTAATGTAACCGATTTCTATGCGATCCGGCAAGCAACCGGCGCCACGTAGAGTCCGGGTCGACGGGTGTGAAATGGACGACCGAGCAGATGGATGTGGGCAACCAGGCTACATCTCCGAAATTGGTGACTAGAAACCCAAAAATAAAACTACGTACAAAATACCGTATAGCCACATGGAACGTTAGAGGTTTGTTAGAACCAGGAAAACTGCATATATTAGAATGAGAGCGTATGAGAGAAAAGTAGACATATGTGGAGTCTCAGAAACCCACTGAGAAGGTCAGGGTCACTGGGAATCCAACTACTATAAAATATTCATGTCGGGAGCCAATAAAACTGGCCAAAAAGGCATAGCAATACTGGTACAGAAGAACCTGGCAAAATGTGCATATGAATACCTTCCAATAAATGATCGCCTAATTAAAATTACTCTAGATGGACAGCCAACAAAGATCCATGTACTACAAGTATATATGCAAACATGCGATGAAACAGATGAAGAAGTGGAAGATATGTACCAGTTATTAAACAGTAACATTGCTAATATACCCAAAAAAGAACCAGTCATAATATTGGGTGACTGGGACGCAAAAATAGGCAAAACAACAACAGAAGATCTGTTGAAAGGAACAGTTGGTGGATTTGGAATAGGTGAACGAAATGAGAGAGGAGAAAGTCTATTACAATTTGTCATCGACACTGAACTTAGTATCATGATCACCATGTTTAAGCATCATCCACGAAGACTATCAACTTGGACTTCACGGGGGTAGGGGGGGAGATATAAAAATCAAATAGATTATATTCTTGTCAACAAACGATGGATAAGTTCAGTAGTCAACGTAAAGACGAAACCAGCGGCTGATTGCCTAACAGACCATAAACTGTTACAATCGGAATTCCGTGTCAAATTTTGTAAAAAAAACCGAAACAAATAAAACAATTAAATATATATCTAAGGAGCCTGGAAAATACAAAGAAACACTAAGACATAGTAACACACCAAACATTACTGGCGATCTCAATCAAACATGGAAACATACAAAGATGTGAATTTTAGACGCAATAAATATTGCAAACCTCAAAGAAACCCCAAGGAAAGAAAAACACTGGATGACTGATAAGAAACTGAACCTAATAGAAGAACGAAGAAAAATTAGATACAATGCTTTAAATCCAACAGAAACTGAAAACAAGATAGCAAATGTAAACAGACGCATAAAATCATCAAGTAGAAGAGACAAAAATAATCATATTAAACAAATATGCAAACAACTACCAGAAAACGTCGACCGTCAAGAATCTAGAGAACTGTTTGCCAAAGTAAAATACTTAACTAAAGAGTTCAAACCACAAACGCAGATAATTAAAGATAACTTGGCAACGATCATCATCAATCCTACAGCTACGAGGAATAGCAGCTACATGGAAACAATATTGTGAAATATTGCTTCATAGTGACCATAAAGACGTGAATCAAGAAGAAATAAATACGAAAAGGAACCACATATTTTAAAATCCGAAATAGAAACCGCAATATAAAAATTAAAAACTGGAAAATCTCAAGAAGACGGAATTACGGGCGAAAGCACTTAAAGAAATAGGAGACATAGGAATTGAAGTAATGTTCAAACTGTGTAATGAAATTTGGAACACACGACAATGGTCAAATGATTGGTATAAGCTCACTTTCATGCCCATTTATAAGAAAGGCTCACCAACTGACTGTAATAACTACCGCACTATAGCCCTGATCTCCCACGCAAGTAAAGTTCTGCTAACTATAATTAACGAGAGATTAAAAGCAATACTTCTACCACAGAGCCCACAAGAACAATGTGAATTTGTACCTGGAAGAGGCACACGAGAACAAATTCTCAATCTCATACAAATTATAGAAAAATTCAGAGAATTTAATCTAGAAACATATTTCTGCTTCTCCGACTACTCGAAAACGTTCGATAATGTAAAGTGACATAAAATGTAAGGAATGCTGATAGAAACGGGTACCCCCGAACATCTAATATACCTACTGAAAGAACTGTATATCAACAATACAGCAAACGTAAAAGTTAACAACATATACTCCCATAATTTTAAACTAAAAGCCGGTGTTCATCAAGGATGTATTATCTCTCCCACGTTATTCAATATATAGCGAACACATCATGAGCATTGTATTCGACGGATGGCAAGGAGGGATATCAGTCGGAGGCCGAATAATCCTCAATCTCCGTTATTCTGACGACAGTTGTAGTACTAGCATCATCAACAAATGACCTTGAATACATCATGAACAGACTAGATACTATTAGTCGTGAATATTGGCTTAAAATAATACACAGAAGATCAAGGTAATGATAATCGATCGAATTAGAAATAACCAGCCGGAAATACGAAACGTAGCGGGGTTTGAAGTGGTAAGCCGTTTCAATTACTTAGTTTCTGTTACAAACAATGTTAGATGCGAAGAAGAGATACGTCGACGTCTTACAATGGCCAGATCAGCAATGGTCAAACTTTAGTAAAATCTGGAAAGGTAAGGACATAACTAGGAACACCAAACTGCGCCTAGTACGGACGCTTATCTTTCCTATCACTACTTATTCGTCAGAAACTTTGACTTAATTAGTATTTAACTGGGAATAAGCCACAATTAAAGATAAAAATACGTTTATTGACGTCAATATTGAAATTATTTATTGAAACGTCAATAAACGTATTTTTATCTTTAATTGTGGCTTATTCCCAGTTAAATAGTAATTAATTTAAAATGCCACAAGAAAATAGCTTCAGAACAATATTAAGAAACTTTGACCATTAAAAAGTCAGATTCACGAAGTATAATGGCCTTTGAAATGTTGGTAAATCGTAGAGTAATGCGCATATCCATAACCAAAATATATCGAGGTACTTTGGACACATTACCAGACGAATGGAAGGCATGGAGAGGTTGGTGGTTGAAGACTAGGTAGATAGTAAAAGAACTCGAGGAAGATCGCCACAAATAAAGTGCGCTACCGGTTATTCTCTGTCTGAGGCAGCACACCGCGCCCAGGAGAGAGAAGAATGGATAGCAACCATTCGCCAAATACCATAACGTCACCACATCCTTACGAAGGATAAAGGATAGAGGAGGAGGAAGATTCTAGGCGATGTTTATCGAACTCATGTTCCTCCGTTATTGTTGGTATATTCTTGTTGTTAACTTCTTGAGCAACCAAATATAAATGCTACTACGAGCAACCAAAGCCTGCTACATACTGCTGATGGGTTTGCTATAAATTTTTCTTCGTTGAGTCAGATAAGGACTGCTTTGACTTTTCTCTTTTTCATGATTATTGATGCATCTTTTTATTGTGATCTGTGCTCGTTGTCACAGGCATGTTTGCATATCTGGTTGGAAACCAATCTCTGTTCCTGAGCGATTCATGCTCGTTTATCATGACACTTAGTGGTCTTGCAGTTTATCCTACGTAGAAATTGTTGCATTCACAGGGTATTTTATAGATGCAATGTTTGTGGTTGTGAGTTGTACTTTCAATCTATAAAAAAGGGGATGAACTGAAATGCGAAAATTATCGCGGCATAACCCTCTTGTGCACAGCGTACAAAGTTTTTACTTATTGACTTAATACACGACTCCATCAACTAACTGAAAATATTGTCAGAGAATATCAAGTCGGTTTCCGACAAGGAAGATCTACAACTGACCAGCTATTCACAGTGAAACAAATTCTAAACCAATCTTGAGAATACAACATTGACGTCCACAACATATTCATAGAGTTCAAACAGCCTATGACTCAATTAATAAACAAAAGTTATATCAACTATTACATATCTTTAAAATACCCCAAAAATATGACTAGTAAAAGCAACAAAGGACTCAGCAACAGCAACTGTCAGAGTACAAAATGAGCTCACTGAGAACTTTTTAATAGTTAAAGAATTAAAACAAGGAGACGGGCTGGCACCGACACTATTCAACCACAGTCTTGAATATGTGATAAGACAGCTGAATATAGGAAAAGTTAAACAAATAAATCAATACAGATTGCCGCCTATGCAGATGACATTAGCATCATGTCTCGAAGAATAGAAGAGGTGGCAGAAATATATTCACAATTAAAAACATGGGTAGACGAAACCGGACTAGAAATAAATATTCAAAAGACAAAAAAAAAACTAACACAGGCAAGAGCTACGGGAAATAGACGCACAGTTGAATTAGAGGACGATATTGAAACTGTAGAAAGTTTTACATATCTGGGAGTTACATTAAACCCTGATGGAAGTTATTTGGTCTTATCAAAGAAAACGGAGTATGGAGATCCAGGTACAACCATGAACTCTACCAACTGTTCAAAGAGGCACTGCTTTCAGAATTCGCTAAACTTCAGAGATATCGGTGCCAAAAAGAGCCCTACATAGTAAAATGCAGGGCGCAAGATCAAAAGAAAGGCCACAAAAAAAGAGAACCTGGAGAAGATCAGCGCGGGACGCGTAGCGCCAATGGAGAGAGATAGAAAGAGAGTGTTGTACTTGTTCTCTTCAGTTTTTCTGATAAACCTTATACATATGGTATTGTTGTCATTTTCGAGTTCCTTCTTGTAAATGTTTCTAGATTGCTTGTGGTGTTTTGTTGTTTTATTTCTTCAATCTTCTGGAATTCTTCGTTCATAAATGGATAGTCATTTTTGGTCAAAACCTTTGTTGGTTAGAGTGGTAATTTAACTTAATTGGTGACTTAATTTAGGCAGGGCCTAAGAAGCAGTTTTTATCAATTGTATCGTTTCACGAAAAATGCTTTATTTGCTAATTTCTCAGGTCTTTCTACTTTTGTGACCTGTTTCAGTGAGTTATGTTAATATTTAAGATCGCCAATCTTTCTGGTTATCTTCTTTGGTAACCTTCCTATTGAGTTTCCGTCCCTTACAGTCGTGACTGTTCTCTCCTCCATTCTTCTTACGTCGGTTTCAGTTCCTTCTTCCTTCTCCCTTCCATCGTACCATGTCCTCAACTCTGCATTGTCTTATATCCTCGCTAGATTTCAACTTTTTTATTTCAGCTGTTTTTAGGACCTGTTTTGATTTCTTTATATTAACCTTCGCATTCTCGAATTCCCGGCTACTTCACGTCAGAATATTGCACATCGAAAATTTACAAGAGCACATAATCTAAGGTCTGGGAGATGTTCGATTATGTCATAGGCGGCATTAACTACGATAGTGGTATGAGGATAGTTATGTTGTGATTTTTAAAATTAGTTGTGTTGAATTTTGCAATTAAATGTTTATAAAAAAAATATGTAATTTCTTTTGATTATTATTATTGCAAAATATTTCAGTGAACAGTATTTAGCAATATACACTTCATCTAATTTACATACCGATGCACGCCATCGGCGTCATAGCCCGTGACGTCACATGATATCAACACGAAATATTTAGGTAATAGGTGTGTTCTTTTTTAGAATCACTTTGCCGAGTACACTGGTATTACAGCCACTAGACGTATTTTATTATATACGCGTAGAAACAATATTTAAAAATTTCTATTAATGTTAACTTAAAGAAATACACAATAATAGGTTTCATTAAATTAGTATAAATGCAATATTAAGCATTTTTATGAAGAATATTTGTTCGGAACACACTGTAACTGTAAACGAACGAAGGTGAAATTTTGGCATAAATTGGTAACACTTATTTGACAGTTGAGGTGTTGACACTTTTTGTACTTTATTATTTTGAATTTTAAAGTGAATACCTCTTGTTTTATATTTTTACGTATTTAATAAAATCTGTTCTTTTTAGAACAAAATTAGTGTGTTTTATTTCAAAAATGTCAAGTAAGAATTTAAATAGTCGTTGTAAAGAGATGGTAATACTTTTGCAATAATTATCTGATCTATTTGATTTAAAATGGAGTCATGATTTTTTTATACTTTGGCAACTATGTCAACTTCGATCTCTGAAGTAGATAATGACGTGCATCGGTATTTAAATTAGATGAAGTATATGTAAATCATAAAACAAAAAAAGAAAGACCGAAAATAAAATATGCAATTTTTTTTTTGATACTTTTTATATAAAATGTGTAAATCGAAACTTACCCCAATAAAAGCTACAGTTCGTAATTTTAAGCAAATCGGGCACTAAGCAATGTATAAAATCAACTTGTGTGTGACAACCTGTGATAGTATCTATTGGACCGGATCTTAAAGTAACGTGGTTTTGGAATAATGCTCTGAGTGACTCAACGCTGAGATCAGGGGGACAGACTAATTGTAACCTAAAAGAAATAACAAAACATTATTATAGCACAAACAACATAAATTAATTCATCTATCATGTATATACTCAGGTTTAGGTTAAAAATTTAGAAGTGAGATGCTACAGATTGTACCATTTTCTGTATAAGGTTTTGATTTGTGTCTTACACTTAAATATTTATCAGTGCAGCGTGCAGTGTTTTTAATGTGGTGTATCCCTTTAAATTTTTTGCATGTTTGAATATCCATCCTTTTTTTATATACTATACTAAATTTGTATGTAAATTATAATACGACCCACTTATCACGTTATGATAATGACCAAAGTAAATAAAATATTTTACCAGGTCACCACGAGCAATAATTTTTAAACTTTTTATAAAGATGTATGTGTGAGGGTATCATTTTTGAATGGACATTTCTGTTCGAAAAATAAAAATTAATATGTCCAGTTAAAGTGGTGTTTATATTTTAGCCAGCAATAAACATAATTAGTAGGTACCTATTAGGTAAATACAGCATAAAGTAAGTGTGATTGTTCCTTTTTTGAACATTGTAGATTGAACTTATTTATACTCCATTGTTTCTATGTTTTATTTGATTATGAATTCTCTGACATATAGGATTCTGAGTTTTCCTTGTCACTCAGTGAAAAGATCAGATGGCGCCCTTTTTCCCTTGCATTTGGTTCAATTTTTATCTAGTTTGTTTTTAGTTAGTGCGATAACTTGAGTAACCTCTAATTAGATATCTGTAGACCCACGTCCCAACGCCCAGCTTTGTGTCCTTCAAAACACCTGAGAGTCGATTACATAGTGAACGTTTTTAGACGTGGAACTCTTCATTTATCTTAAATTCCAAGACTAAACTTTGCCTTGGGTTAATTTTTATGTTACCCAACTTCTGAGCATCCTTTCTTTCCACCCAGGTTTAATTTACGTTACAAGATTTTTACCTTCAATGAAACCTAGCATAATAAAGATATCGTGTGATTGTAAAACGATGCTTTTATTGTTCTTGTACTTTTGGAGCGTTTCTGCTAGTCGTTTTTGTTTTTGAATCTATCAGCAACCGCGGCACCAGCTTTGAAGACAGGTATCTAAATAACAAACATGAAACCATATCAGACCATTGAAAGTAATGTTTACCAACAGACGAAATTTAACACTATAACTTGTAAACTAATTGAACTCAAATTTTGGCATAGTGTTAAAAAATTAGTGTTTTCTAAGTCTTCTCTATTCTGACAAGATCACTGAATAGTAAGATTTAAGTGGATTTGCAAAACACCTTGTAAGGCTCCAGATTCTAAGAATACAATAATTATTTAGATTTACATACAACGGAATTTCTTGCTGGACTGATAAACTAAAAGTGCAAGTTTCATCTGACATAATTTTTTTTAACTTTATTAAAACTAAGGCTAAAATAACAATTAGAGTATTACCTCCTGGGTGCTTGAGACTCTTCATTATCTGAACACAATAATTGAACTCTTCGAATTAAACGGAAATTTGCAGGTGCTATTACACCTTCTTCGATTTCTCGTGCCCTTTGAAGCCGTGCCGCTTCCTCGCAATCTTCATGCTGAGATCGCATCCTAAAAATATTTAAGATACATGAAAGTAATGTCGATGATTTAATTATTCTAATTTATTGCGTTCGATAAAATAAGTTTTATCATACACTTTCTCTATAAATGAATACCCAAAAGTAACCAGAAATTCAAAAAATATTTTGTCGAGCAAATCATTTGTCCGATTAATTATTTTCGTTAGTAATTGTATCTTTTTCAACAAATTACGATACTAATGATCGGTTTTTGAATCGATGGTAAACTTCTAGGTTGTGGTAACCCAGAAACCATAGTCTACCTCGTATGACAAATGCCGAGAGTGTATTTTAGGCCATTCATATCATATCTACTGTAGTATAAATTCCTTTCTTACCATGTTTAGATATCTAGGTAATACAAACATTACCATAATTTGGACAAATAAAAATTGACAAAGATTAAAATATTCACATAAAGATGCAACAAGTAACAACAATCTGTTTTGTGCTAAATTTCAACTAAAAGTAAAAAGCTACATTAACGTTAAAAAACAACTAGACATATAAACAAGTAAATAGAGACGAAATACTGAATATTATCTTCAAAATCCACAGGAAAAGTTTATTTTCTGTAGTCGTATGTATATATCACAAAAATGTTCAGTAAAAAGTTCTTCATAAAAAGAATATTTATTTAATAGAACCCTTTCGCGCTAAATCACAGAAAGTCTTTGGAATAATTATTCCATCTTCAGTGCTGCTACTATTGGGTATACATATTTAAAGACACTAAATACACGGTGAAAACCCTTTAAATGTTATTACATTGGTAATAGAATAGATGATTGTTAATAATTTTAAAGGATATTAAAATTTTATGTAAATTCACTTCATGGCAACGTAAACTCCCAACAAGAGTTACTGGTCCGTAGAGTCTTTAAACGGTACCAACTTTAGGTACCAACTGAGTTTCACCCATGTACTTAGTGGTTTTAAACATGTACAGTGGTAGCAATGAACATGAAATATCATCCGTTCTGCCTTGCTGCATTACAAGCCTATAATTATGTGACCGTCGTAGCAGAGGACATTAACATTCTGGTCTTGCTCGCGGAATTAGGAAGGTAGCAGTCCAATGATGTGGGTTCAAAGGGTCCAATTATTTTTTTAAATCTTCAAAAGAGTATAAGTCGCATTAATTATACTATCTTTTTTTAGTTTTGTATATGGCGACGTCGTTGCAGAGAATTTGCTTTTTCTCCATGCTTTTTCAGGTTGCGACACAATATTAGTAGGTTTCAAAATCGGCTAGCGGAACAGCATTATTTCTGCAGCTCATTTTCACAGCGTTACGAGTTTTTCTCCAGGAAACACTGAGATCCTGAAGATTGGGGTTGGAAAAAGCATGGAAAAATTTGGATACCAATCAAAACTTTCAAAACTCCACCAACCCTCGAATTCCTTCAATTAATTTTCTGCAGATGTAAGTATGTATGGCTGCCAACAAGTAAGCATCAAATGCTCTGCGGTGTGCCTCAATTTTGGTGAAACCTGCAGTGACATGAAAATATTAAAATTAATCGAAAAATTCGAAGATGAATTACCCACAATGACGCCAATTCTAACTTCCGTACTTTCGCAAACATTCACCTTCGATACTGAATTAGATCCTGAACCACAGTCTGGATCATCAAATAAAATGCAAAAACAATAGCTGGAAAACAATTTTGTAAATGTATATTTATGCTCAATATTACCTCACCTAGAAATTGTCAATGACTTAGGCTTAAGTAGGCGCAAAATTTCGGGCCAATGCTTTTTAAATGCATTATATTTTTTAGAATCATGAAAAAACTAACAAAATTTTTTTTTGAAAAATTTAAACAAAGAATGAAAGATTACATTATTACCGAGGGCCGAAAGTCCCTTAGAATAAACACAAAGTTTTTTTGAATGAGATATTGACAAAGTAAAATTAATGAAATTAGAATAAACAAAAAGTTTTTTGAATGAGATATTTGAAATTAAAAATCACACTAAATTTTCTCTTATTTTTCACCCCTGTAACTTATTAAAATAAAGATTATAGAAATATTCAAGGACTTTTGGCCCTCAGTAATAATGTATTCTTTCATAATACTTTTTCTCAGGATTCGCAAAAATTAATGCATTTAAAAAGCATTAGCCCGAAATTTTGCGCCTACGCTCTTAATGGTGATACCACTTAAAAAAACGCCCTCCAGACTCTTCCTCATAGGTGGTCGGGAAAAAGATCCATAATAAACTAATAATACCATCGGAATATTAACAAAATAATAAATTATATGAATAAAAGAATATATAATGAAAAACTAAGCCTAATGGTTCGTTTTTATCGTATTCTTATGAGTATACAAGAACCCGGTCAACTTCGGATGGCTACAAAACCAAGTAAAATTAATGAAATTTAATACATTTTTAGTGAAAATTATTCGTTGACAACCCTGTATAATATTGCTCTGACGTCTTTGTATTGTAAAATGACGTTAATAAAATAAAAATTGAAAAGAAGTTATAAGGCCCAAACGAAAATTTGTTCAAAAATTGTTGTTATTTGGTTTATAACTTTTTTATTGTCACGTTTACGATAAAAACTAATAGAAATAAAGTTGTAGAAAATTTAATTTGCTACAAATAATGTTTTATAGAATGTCTTCTAATTTACGAGATACAGCGCAAAAACCATTTGCCCAAGATGGCGCTAGGGGACAAGGGTGTCCACCCCACAAACTTGAACTTAAGCTTATAATAACCACCCCCAAACATAAAAAAAAAATCAAATTGCGTTCTCTCAAAAATGTAATCTTAATGTAACTTTTCAATGTACTATCTGTGATTTACTCCAATTGGTCGTTTAAGAGTTGATGTAAGTATTCCTTCCAGATTTTTAGGATATCCTTGTCATCAGTAATAAGCTGTCTGATGACGTTTTGAAGGAAGTTCTTGCTTGGTGCCTGACCTTGATATCTGAAACTCCTTTAAAACGTTGCCTGTCGTAGAGGATTTTGTAATACTTTTCATTCACGCCATAGTCATCGAGACAGCATTAAGTTACATTAAAATTCTCGGTCAAATAGACCTCGCTGGCGTGCAGAGCAATTTTTTTCTCGGTCACATAGATCGAGACGGCAGGCAACGTGTTAAAGAATTGTCTTACTTGGTTGCTCTTCCGTTTTTTTTCTTCTATATATCTGATTATTTATTCCTGGTACTCCTTTTTTTGTACACTTGTCATAATTAATTTTATATTTTTCCAAACAGTCTATGTTTTTATAACCCTTTTTGAAAGTTCTACTTTGCCTCATTATCATTCAGAACTTCGGTATCCCATAATGTTGTTAACGTATTCTTGTGGATTTTTTGGGACGCTATTCTTGTTCTCATCTTCGTTTTTACCAGAAAACGATCCGTGTCTCCATCCGCTCCTCTTAGGCCGTCCGCACATGGGTCGACGCTCGAGGTGGTCGATTCGATTTCAATCGTGTAGATCTCTCCCCACCGCCAAAGTTCCTTCGCTGTTGCATTGAGCTCCGCAGACGGGGAGATTAGTTAGTCGTCTAGAATTGCAAATCTCCTCGTCTTGGACGACTCTCGTCACATGCGATTGGTAGCGCACGATTAGTTCTGAGTGAGACGCACGTTTTCAATCATTCGGATAAGATTATTGTATTTGCTTTCTTCGTTTTTTATTGTTTTTTGCCCTAAAATAAATTATTTTAAGATCGACGAATATTATGTTCGTTGTTTGTAGTACTACTAGCTTTGTAGAAATATATCGTAGAAATAGTTTTGTAGAAATATAAAATTCGTTGGGGAAGTGTAAAAATACCCTCAATTGTGTAAACTATACTTCCTGGTTGGCAGATGTGAGCAAACAGCAAACTGAATCGATTAGTGTGCGGTGAACAATCGCTCATGCCGCAGGATTCGTATAAGACGAGCACGAAGTATGAACTTAGACGCATGCCTTCGATCGACCCATGTGCGGACGGCCTTAGGCTTCTTACATAGGCATCTATCAAAACATATTCGATCATATTTTTTGTGACGCCGTCGTTGGAAACCCACGTTTCTTTGTGTATTTTCTTGTGTTTGAACATTGTTGATTTTATTAGTAGGTTTTGCATACTGACTACGAATCCCTGGTCAAAATAAGTATATCCATCTTCATTTGCGAGTTATACCGTTTTTATTAATTTAACAGTTTTTTTTCAATATAAGACTTGACAGGCGGACGAACCGAGAAACATAACCTATAGAATCGAAATTTTATTTTCATATTATTATTTCTATCCAAAACGATGTAGTGGCAAATCAACTTTCGAGGTTAAGTCTTAACTAGTTTATCAGAAAGCGAAGCGAGAGGTAACCGGTTAGATATAGATAGGTGACAGAAGTGAAAAAAAAAATTGCAAAATAGTGCTTCATAAGATCTACTAGTGCACGCAGATGTTGCTCATATTATTTCAAATTAAAGTGATTACAATTATTACATATTTACTTATCATTTAAGGATCAGGTAAAAAAATGTTGATAAGTATTGTCTCAATAAACAGAAAATCTTTTTTTCTAATTTTGAAAGACACAAACATAATATTTACGTTCAATTTGATGAAATATTGGATGTTTATATTAAGATAAGAAATAATCTTTAATTTTAGATATTTTTAAAACAAATAATTACAAACAATTATAAAAATAATTATATTTTGTAAACTAATTAAAAGCTACCTATAAGAATACACGTACTCTTTAAGAAACTTAAATTTGATAGAAAGTGTACTGCCAGAAAATATATTGACAGTGCGAATGTTTTGTAAAATATTCTATATTTATTGCCTCGTATTTTAAGAGATAATTATAGTTACAATATTTTTTATAAATTCGCAGTATGTATCGGAAAATTTCGTCTGTTAAATTTGTGGAAACTGAAATTTGACAATCAGTACAAGATTGTGTAAAAAACAGCATTGGATTGAAAATTATAGTAAACATAGTCATATAAAACAATCATAATTTTCATCAAAGTCGGACTTCTCATCTTTTGTGTTTTATCCAGTTGACGTATCCTTTTCAATTTCTCTCGACAGGCTAGTACGGTGTACCAAGGTTTTAAACTCCGATTTACGTCAAGAAGCATCGATTTTTATATTTACCCATAACTTCAAAATCGACCCTATGCCGTAGAGTGTCCATGCTTTTACCTCAAGAGTGGAATCCACCCCAACTGGGAGGTTTGGTACCTTTATATTGAAAATAGCCTCAAGAATGGATAGAAAAATATACTCTAAGTAACAAAAATTCTATAATTTTTTCGATAAATCAATCCTTTTAGACTTATTCGTGATGGAAAATGTTTTTTTGTTGTTTTTAAACTGATTTGTCACGAATACTTCTAAAACTTTACTAGATTTTAAAGTTTTATCGAAAAAACTGTTAATCAAAGAGGCATTGATTTTTAAGCTTAATACAAACCAAGTTATAACTCATACATCATCATCAACATCATCATGCAACCTCTCCTGTCCATGGCTGGACATAGGTCTCCGTCTCTTCACGGTTCTGTACGTCGTTGCAATTTCTTGGATATTCGTTAATGTCGTCCATCCAGCGTATTGGTGGTCGTCCTCTGTTGCGTTTGTCTTCTCTTGAGCGCCAGTCAATTAGTTTTCTGAACCATCTTGAGTCTCTTAGTCTCGCTATGTGACCTGTCATTGCTATTCCATTTCAGTTGACTATACGTTCGAAGATATCAATGATACCTGTTCTTTTCCTTAGGTCTTGGTTAATTATTGTCTTTTTTGTCACGCCGAGAATCGATCTTTCCATGCGCCTTTGTGCCACTCGTATGTTTAGTGATGTTGTTTTTGTGAGAGAGTTTTTCTGCTCCGTATGTCATAATAGGAAGAACGCATTGGTCAAATGTCTTCCGTTTCATAGCTATCGGGATGTTGCTATTAACGATGTCTCTTAGTGAACCATACGCCGCCCAAGCAAGTGCTATTCGTTGTTAAAATTCACCCGGTCTGATTATCCTTGCATATTATGATTTCATGACAGAGATATATGTACTTTTCTGTCAATTCTACCACTTGATTTTGGAAGGGTAGGTGTTCGCTGGGCACAAAATTTGTCATAAATTTCGTCTTACTGACGTTCATTTTTACACCTATTATTGAAGATACGTTTTCTAATTCTTGTAGCATTTGTTGTGCTTCACGCAGATCTTCGGTAATAAGTACAAAACTTTCGGAAAAACGCAGATGATTGAGCATATTTTTCCCGTCTATTTTTATTCCTCTATTTTCCCACTTTAGCATTTTAAAGGCGTATTCGAGGACCGTTATAAATAACTTAGATGAGAGTGTCGGTCTTACACCTCGCTTTATATTAATTTCTTTCGTGGTACCATGTAGACACATTGTGGCGTTTTGTTACAATGTTTGTACTAACTTTGTAAGCCGGTAGTCTATTCTACTATAGTTCAGAGCAGTTGTATGCTGTCTAATTCCACGGTATCGAAGGCTTTGTTAAAGTCTACGAAGGTAAGTACCAGTGATCTGTTATATACTATCGATTTTTCTATTAAGGTTTTTACTGTTTGTAGGTAATCATTTAATTTGTGGCGAAGTCAGCTTTGCTGGCGAAGTAATGCAACAATCTTTTAGACAAAGGTTAAACAAAATTTTTATTTGGTTGAGAAGGGCACATCCGCCAATCTTTATCAGCATTTTACTATTTTTAGGACAGCATTTTACTTGAGCCTCTCGAATAGCTTCTACGATATTTTCGTTTAGGGTATTTACATTATTTATGCATTCATTTTATTGTAGGATTGTATTGAATTGTCTTGGTATTCATTTAAATTCGTTGGGTCGTTCCATATCGGGTTGGCTTTCTTCATATTCATTTTGGATTTTCTGTTATTAACTCTAATTTTAGTTTGGCTCTTACCATTCTATGATCGCTGCCTGTGGTAAAGCTATTAAGGACTGTGACATCGTTGAATATATGGTTTTTGTCACTGATTATGTAGTCTATATCGTTTCTGATCTTGCTACCTGGGCTTTTCCACGTCCACCTTCTGTGGTCTTTTTAAGAGAAGAAACTATTCATCTGGTATAGATTTTGTTGTAATAGAAATTCTAGTAGTGATTGTCCACGCTCGTTTCTGCCTTTGGATCCAAATTTACCTAGTGTTGTTTCCTGTTCATCCTGCTTTAGACAGATCTTTGTATCGTGTAGTGTGATTCTTTCAGTGCCATAATTCATACGGAGGCCATAAAAAGAACTCGTCCAGCGGCGTTGAAAGTCCTGTTGCAAAATTTATCCTGGAAAAGATGATAAATTGCAGAGTCTCCGGACTTGGAAAAGTGCTTACTTAACCCTTATGTGCACAACCAACTTTTTCCACGTTGTTGCACAAACGGGGTACTCGGATATCCACTGCGAGTTTATCTTAATTTTTGACAGTTTAATATACTATTGTAACTTCACAGAAGGCGCCAATTAGAGAAATTATTTCGATACTTCAAAAGTTTGTATTGTAAAATATGTGTAGGAAAAATATAAATAAATAAATATAAATAAATAATAAAAAAACAATTTTTTTCTATGGAAAAACGATTTTGAATAGCTTCGCTTCCCACGCAATTTGTGAGCGATGGCTGAAAGAGTCATATGTGAGAAGGGGCTGAATTAGCCCAGTACATTAAATAAGTCTAGCGATTAGGTACCCGTGTGTCTACTAGCGTGGTGCTTACTGTATATAGATAGATAACACGTAGCAATAATATGGAGATACTAGTAGTCCAAGAAGTGAAAAAGTCGAGTGCGATCACCAACCCGATGGACTGATACGGTCGAGAAGTTATTAATCCCGAACTTTGTTAATGCGGCAAGTGCCATCCAAAATAGGGATAGATATAGAGAAAGCGTAAAAAATAGCAATACGATCTCTAGACGAAAGGCAATATTCATAATTACTACTCATATGTTAAGATGTATAACAAGCTGACTTTTCTTACTCACCATTGATCAATAAAAGGTGCACTAATGATGATATTCGGAATCGAACTAGTTGCCGGAGCGGTACCATATATCCCCCTAACACCATTTACCTCCGTAACTCTTGAAGCACAGATCGCTGCCTCTTCTTCTCTGGGAACACCGCCATCGAAAATGTTGACAGGAGAGTCGGATACACTCGGTGCAGTTTCTCGGTCCCTGTAATGTGAAGACATTAATTTTATTGTAGAACGAAATCATTATTTATATCATACACATCATATATAATTTATTCCAATGGAGATATATCCAGATATCGCAACAGTGATGTCGAAGCGACATACATAAGATGTATAACAGGCCAGAGATAAGAAAACTTTCTGAATATTTTACCTCATTCTTATGTTATTAATAAAACATTAATAACATCAGAATCCAAAAAATTAACAAAGTTGCACCATCCATCGATTTGTTTTTGTCACTTTTTCAATGTTTGACTCATGTGATCTATTTATGGATCTGTTGTAAAAACGGTCCCCATTCTAATTGTTATACATGCCGCGAGTTACAGATAACAGGTATCATTTGCCATAACGTCCTATTTAAAATTATCTGTCACAGTGGCGCTGTATGTCATTTGTCACTATTACGTCACTTGTTATGACTAGTTAAGAAGCCTATGTCTGTTTATTACCTCCCTCCAAATTTCACTATGATAAGTATAAAGATACGAGGGGGGAACGGACAAGTATATATATATATTATATATAATATATATAAATATATATATATATATATACAGACATAGGCTTCTTATATATATATATATATATATATATATATATATATATATAAAGGATCACTCAGACGAGTGGTGGGTTCAAATATCGGTCTACTAGGTGGAGAAATAAAAGACAAAGTTTGATACTACTTCATCTATTTTGAAGACGTTTCGCTATCGAATTCTGATAGCATCATCAGTTCATCTAAAAATTTACATTATGAGAACCCACACATTCATGAAGAAGATGTTACATAGTTACCTTTAAAAAGACATGTAGTTGTCAATGGTATTAAAAAGTTAGTACAAAAACTCAGATAAATGGACATCATATGGTGATATTGTATAAGCAATCAAATAACTAACAACATTTAGAGACTTAATAAAAATTAGTAAAGCAACAGGACACGTGGTCTAATCTACATATAATATTTTATATAATATTAACTAGTGAAAAAGAACTAAGAAAATCATCGAATATATATATATATATATATAAATATATATTATATATATATTTATATATATTTATATTTTATATATTTATATATATTTATATATATTTATATATATTTATATATATTTATATATATTTATATATATACAAGACAAAAGAAGTACTTGTGACTCGTTTGGAAAAAATATAAAACTGTTTTGGATGGGTTGGAGTCAATAAAAGGGGCTATTTGTTAACTATTTTTTACTCGAGCTTTCAATTGTGCAGTAGTGTGTAGGACCATCATATTGTTGAAACGTTTATTCCAAGTTGCCGAATTCATCTGGATTATCTTCCAGAATTTCAAGAATTAACGGTTCAATTGCGTTTTGTAACATCTACAGATACTACACTTCATCGGTTACATTAGCATTGAGAAAAACATGCCCAACGATGTGGTTTCCTAAAATACCTGCCCAAACCGGGTAGGTTTTGGCAGGTATTTTTAATTTTCAGTCGCCAGTAACTCGCAAAATTATTGACAAAACTCAAAACAAAACTTATTTTGAATGTATGTTTTTTTCAACCACAAGAAGGGGTATCCTTTACCCCCTAAGTAAAAACAACTCAATGCATGCTCTCAAGATATCAAACGAACTGAACGTAGAATACCACTTCTAATAAATGATAAAATCAAAATAGCATAAAAAGATATCTTCCCATCCACTATGTCCATCTAATATAGCCATATTTGGAAGACAGAACTTTTAGAGTTGAACAAGAAGGCGATTATTCAGAACTACGACCAGTCAAAGCAGGAATCCCACAGGGCAGTGTTCAGGGACCCCTACTATATTTTATTATATATCTGTGACATCCCTGTTCCAGAAAATATTAAACTGATCACATTTGCAGACGCCGCTGAAATCCTAGCAGTAGGTGAAACATTTGATGGAAAAACTAGACAACTCTTAAATGCAGTGAACATAATAAGCATTTGGAATAATAAATAAATTTAAATAATAAATTTGGATAGCAAATTAAAGTCGTAGGAATATATCAGTAAGAAAACTGAAAGACTAAAACTGAAATACAAGAAGTTATATTGATTATTATGCCGGGTCCAGACAAAACAAAAACATTCATGTTTCGCGACAAAGTGGCGACAAATCGAAAACATTTGTTGAGACATTTCTGAAGAATTTTGTTTTGTTTCCAAATTTGAAAACTTTTTCTGGTCCCGTCTCAGGTCGGTAAAGATCAAAAAGTATGTGTTTTGTCTGTGTATTTGACGACAAGTTGTCGGCGCAGTGTGGACGCGTGTGCGTGCCAAAACGAGTTAAGCAGTAGGAGAAATAGAATGTACAATTTTTATCAAAATTAAGTGTATTTTTCTATTACTTAGTCTGAACACAAATGTTTACTCAACTCCATCCAACTCCAACCCACAACATTTGTACTCAAATCCACCCAGCACTGACACACAACATTCATACTCAAATCCTCCCAGCATTGACACACGTTCATACTCAACTCCTCCCAGCATTGACACACATTTATACTCAAATCCACCCAGCATTGAACATTTATACTCAAATCCACCCAACACGCAACATTCATACTCAAATCCACCCAGTTCTGACCCACAAAATTATTACTTAAATCCACCAAACACCAACACACAACCTTTATTTTCACATCCACCTAGTATTGACACAGAGTTTTCTCAGTATTCAGATCAAGGAAACGAACGAAATTGATGATGAACTTTTTGAATGTAAAAACAAGTAGACATTTAACCAATAAATATGGATATTGACAGAAAAATGGTAATGAAAAAAGTTTAACATACCTGTACATAACCACTAAGACTGTTAATTAAAGCTTTACATACTTCAGGTATTATTACAGATATTGATTGCTTTGATACTTTTGAAAGATACATTAGGCTGTGGTAGGAATCACCTGTTGCTAAAAATCTTGCTAAAAGTGATTGCTAACCTTTCTGTTACACTCATAGTATTTCTAAAGTTAGTATGTCTTTTTGCAACTGCAGGACCAACAAGGCATATTAGATTCTCAAAATCTTCGGTGGACATTCTTAAAAAAATTTGAAGCTTGATCGAATTTCACCAATTAGTCCAATATCATCTGCTCGCAGCTGAACTAACAATTTGTCTATCGAACAACTTTCTCGCATTTTCAGGCTTGCTCTATTCCAAAAACGTTTGGGTTTTCTTTTAGCAACCTGGGATGATGATGAGAGCAAAAAAAATTTGCGGCTAGCAATAAATCTTCAGTTTCATTTTTTTCTTAATTAAAATGCCACATGGTTAACCAACACTAATCACAACAACAACGTCACCAACCGAATTTGTTTTTATATTTTGTTGTTCTGGTGTGGACAGTTTGTCTCAATTTTGTTTTGTCTTTTGACGACAAATTTTGTCGCCGGTTTATCGTGTTTTCGTTTCAGAATTGTGTTTTCGTTTTGTCTGCTTGGTCTGGACCCGGCATTAGGTTGAAGCTTCCAACTTACCATCAAGAACAAAGTATTAGTTAATAAACAAATGCTCAAACCAATATGGATCTATGGTTTACAGTTATTGGACTGTACCAGTGAGAATAAGTCAAAAACCGAATACTAAGATACATAGTAAACGCTCCTTGGTATATTCGCAACAAAGACATCGGGAACCTCGTATATCAAAAATTAAAGAAGAAATAAAGAAGATTGCCAAAAGCCTCGAAAACCGACTCCACAACCATACAAACAGGGAAGCGTTAGATCTGTTAGATAATCAAGACCTATAAATAAAAACAATAGAATGTACAAGATTTAATAATTTGTTGTAGCATCAAAAGAAAATTACTTTTTGCAACCAAAACAAATGTTTAATCTGTAAAAACCTCATTGCCAAATTAACGATAAATTAAGTTACAATGTTGAATGAAACATTTCGAATATTATTAAATAAATTTGTATTATCTTCAAATGCACCGAAACAGCGTATAAACAATAAGCGTATAAACAACATACAAATAAAACAGATTAGATTATTATTACTAAAACTGTTGGTTGTCGAAAACGTCGTGAAATATCCGTCAATGCGATAACACAAATTCATGTCACTAATTGTACATAATTAGTAAACACTTTATAGAATTGTAATTTTTTTGTTTACACAATACGCTAAATTATATTAGTGGCAATGTCATATCGCTATTTTTTACGAAAATATTCCCTAGTATCGAAACATTCACATTCACGACATTCTCTGTAGTAATCCTTTTTAAAATATAATTGGCATATTTTATAGCAATAAATAGACTTTTTGGAAGATTTTTGTAGTCTTCGAACGGAAATAACAGTTCCTCACACGTCAAAATGTAATAAAAATCTTTTGGAGGACCGCAATTTTGGATCGGAGAAGAATAAAAGAAATCCATCCTTTAGTTTTGTGCAGTTTGTCAGACCGTCCGAGCATTAGTGCCGCCAAAACTGCAACATTTATAGAAAAACATATATGACTGATTCGATTGCAGCGGAAAAGACACATTTATTATAAACAGGAAACATACACAACATAAAAATAAAACGCAAAAAATTGTTTATTTCAGAAATACTATAAAATAACATAGATGACGTTACAGAGCCACTGTGACCGATAATTTTAAATGGGACCTTATGACAAGTGATGTCTTGTTTAAAAGGTATTGACAATACCTATTTAATCATACTAATTTTGTTTGGCTTTAAGCTGATTTTGCTGAATAATTTAAAAAATAGGTACTAAAATTGTAGTTTCCCATTTAATTAATAAAAATTTAAGAACCAGTTCTTATATTAAGCGTTCAAGATGTGCTTCATGTACGACCTGAAAGTAATGCATCCTATTGCTAAACTCAAATGTGTAGGGGAATTTTGCCCAACATTCTTCAAGAATTCGTTGTTGTAAAATGTCGATACTGTGAGGTGCTGTAACGTAAACCTCAGATTTCAAGTATTCCCACAGAAAAAATCTAATGGTGCTAGTTCCGGTGACCGAGTCGGCCAATCCATCTGCCACAATATTCCTCATCTAAGTAACGTCTTAATGTACCATAATAGTGTGCAGGACCATCATATTGTTGAAACGTTTATTCCAAGTTGCCGAATTCATCTGGATTATCTTCCAGAATTTTAAGAATTAACGGTTCAATTGCGTTTTGTAACATCTACATATACTACACTTCACCGGTTAAATTAGCATTGAGAAAAACAGGTCCAATAATGTGGTTTCCTAAAATACCTGCCCAAACAGGGTAGGTTTTGGCAGGTATTTTTAATTTTCAGTCGCCAGTAACTCGCAAAATTATTGACAAAACTAAAAACAAAACTTATTTTGAATGTATGATTTTTTCAACCACAAGAAAGGGTGTCCTTTACCCCGTAAGTAAAAACAACCCTGTGCTCAGGTCCAAAAGAGAAATAGAGAGTATATTAGAGTGGATGAAGTTTATTTTTAGCCACCATTCGATGTACTTGTCTTTGACTGATTCCACAGATATATTATGCAGCTTGATATAAACAAATATTTGGTGGTAAAGACGTAGTATCTCTTATAAGAATAGGAAGACTAAGATGGGCAGGACATCTAGCAAGATCACAGCAGAACAACCCTCCTAGAAGAATCCTTATGTCACAACCCATGGTAAGTAGGAAAATGGGTAGGCCAAAACTCAGATGGAAGGATGGTGTAGATGAGGATGGTTGAAAGATAGGCGCAGTAAACTGGCAACGGTTGGCAATGAATAGGACTGCCTGGCGTAATAGACTTGGGAAGGTCGAGGCTCTTTCATAGGGCTGTAGCACCATTGATGATGATGATTATGCAGCTTGGTCTGTAGAAGAAGTGGAGTTCACTACCATTTCTGCAAGTATCCCAATTTTTTGTCATTATTAAGACAGCTGTTACTTTGTCGGCTACATTACGTACCATTTATCAACGTAAACATGTAAACGTCTCGTTAAACAATAATTAAACTAAATATTCATGGTATAAACACTTTTGCAAGCTTAAAACTTTTTTTGACAAATCACCAGAGAAGGACATTAATTAACGAATTATGAGAACCACACAATCATATTGTACTTTTTAGATGAACTGATGATGCTTTCAGAATAAGAAAGCGAAACGTCTTCAAAATAGATAAAGTAGCCTATCAACTTTGTTTTTTATTTCTCCACCTTGAGACCGATATAAGAACCCACCACTCGTCTGAGTGATCCTAGTGAAAGTCACCAGAGAGATTAGAACCAGTATGATGTGCAGATGTGCTGTTAATGAATCAACGTGCCAAATGTCAGCAAAAGTTCTATTTGAATACGAGATTCACTACCTTGTGATCTACAGATCTTGTGGATATCTACCTGGAGAAGATGTAGCTGGTGAAGATTATCTGAACGAATTATAAAGAAGAATGGAAGATATACACGAGTTGGTCCGTTCCCATCATCAGATCGCTAACGAAATGGAACGATACTTAAGTCGAAGAGGTATGTTTTAAAAGCGGAAAGGTTGTTGTAACAATTCTGGGAGGTTCCGTATTAGGACTTATTGAGGACCTTATTGAGGAGAAGATTAACGATGTCCTTTATCGAATAAACAAGATTTCGAGCAGAAAAACGATGACAGTACACCATAATCGGCTGGAGCGATTCGAAAAAGGCGATGACGTAGAGAAAGAAGTGGAAGTAAACCAAGTCCAAGAAGTACCTGAATTCACGTTGGAGAAATTCATTGGGGCATATGGAGGTACCAGTAAAGCAAGACATGGTGTTACCACTGAAGAAAGCAAGATCTACTCGCTCTTCCAGGCAACTACTTACTGGCGCATACCATTACGGCTAGTATTAAATATGCACAAGGATTGGCATCCATCGAAGAAAGTTTGGGTGAGTTGCAGAACTTAAATGCCGACTACCAGCTGCCGGAAACTCCAAGATGCATCAAGTTACCTGTTCTATCTGGTTACAAAAGACATTGCTCATAACCAACCTCTATACGCACGAACACGTACTAGGGTCCAATGTGCAAATAATTAGCAATGCCAAAGCTAGAATGCCACCAATTGGATTGGAGGATTATCTGGAAGATGGTGGAGAAAATTTTGAAAGACATCAAAGTCCAGGTAGTAGTCTTGGCAATCCGCATGGTTACCGATGCGGACAGAAAACCGTGCCTCGTCACTTTTATACAACTAAGAGTTGTAAAAGAGGGTCCAGATGCCGACACTAGCATCCAGTACCAGTCCTGGACATGGTTTCAGGAGTAACCATCTCTTAAGGAGAGGATAATATTACGCCAGCCCAAATGACTTTACTATATATAGCGAAATTAAATTATAGAAAATTAGTCCATAAAATAAATTTGCAGCATTAAGTAAATAAACATTACAACACTAACAAAAACTACAAAATTTAATTTACAATGCTCGATAAACAATTAAAACATTAAGCAGCACAGAAGGCAACCAACTTACCACATAATAAAAATAATATAAATATACAACATATATACCTAAACGCATTACATAATTGCTGTCTCCTTCATGAAGAGAAAAAGAGAGAAAAAATAAAAATAAAAGATGGATGTTTGCAGAAGGAAAACACACTTAAGAAAGAAAAGACAAAGAAGAGAAATCAATATATATACATACCTATCGTCAGCATTTTCCTGAGCTCCTACCATATTCTGTCCAACAATTGAATTATTTTCATTAGAGCCCGTGCGGTGGTAGCATGTGCACTGACAACAATTTTGATTGTCCTGAGTAGAAGCAACTTTGAACTCCTTTTTCGTAGTGCTAAACCGGATGCCCCACTTCGGAGATTTTTTCACAAATGTAGAAGTTTTCGACGTTGATGGAGATTTTTTATCGCGTTTCGTAAACGGAAGTGGTCTGTCACGGCATATGTTAAAAAAATTAAGTCTACTCTTCTTGTTAGGTTCCTTAGGAGTGGCGGCAGCTTGCGATGTGCTCGGTGTGGGCTCTACTGGATCTTGGTCGTCACAGTTGCAAGCATTGTTATCCATAGTTTGAAATAGACCATTTGTTACAAGATTGAGGAAACCATAAAATTTACATTTCATCTCATGCAGAACCTGGAAATAATATACTTGATTTAATTTAAGTCAAAAATTGAAGGAAGATTATAGGGAAGTATAGCTGTCATTATATATAATTGGCTTTCGATTCCCTAATTAAGCATATTTATAAAATCGTTACACTAAGCATATTTTTCATTAAGCGAGTTTCAATTTTTTCCTAATTCGTTTAAGACTCGCTGCGTTGGTTTAATCTTCTACCCATTATTTCAATATTTCAAAGCATCATAAATATAATGGTAAATTTATGACGCTTCAATGATTTTTTACCATTTTTGTTTCAACCTTTTTACACTAGCTGAACATTTAAAACATCTCGGTTAAACAGCAACTAACCAATTAAAATACCTGTTAAACAGAATTTACGAAAGAAGGTTCCCTTTTACGACTAAGAACTAGAACATTTTACTATGTTCATTTTGTTGTTGCAGGCCTCCGATTTCGTTGGCGGTATCAAACATGATTTTCATTAATGGAAACCTGTCGATTTGGTCATGTAATCTTTCATCAATTGTCTTTTGGTAGTTATCTGAGTTTTCTTTTAGGTTGTTAATATTTGTACCTGTTACTGTTGGTTTTGTGATCAATTTTATTCTTTCTAGTTCAGATCTAGAACAATTTTTGTTCTGATTATTCTATGGTCGCTACCTATTTGAAATTTATTTATTACACTGGCATCTTCTATTGTAGCAATCTTGTTTGGCATTAAAGTCACCAATTAAATACTTAAAGTGCCTATTATTGTTATTTATTGCTTCATTTATGTTACTGTAATGATCCTATATTTCCTCGTCAGTGTGAGTAATCGTTGGTTCCTATATTTTTACAATTTGTATATTGTATCTATTTGTATTATATATATATATATATATATATATATATATATATATATATATATATATATATATATATATATATATATATATATATACGGATATATTGGGTTTAGTAGTCAATATATTGGCCTTTAAGTAAAACTCTTTTAGGTTTGCTAAGCTTTCGACTTTATTTTACTCTTTTTCAAAACATACTAAAAATTAACATAAAAAATTTACATTAGAAAAATAAAGTTCTTATGTCTTCAATAGGCTTAACCTTGTGAGAATTGTCTTTTAAAATGAGCAAAATTTTACATTTTGTCATTATGTCAGTAACATAATGACATTAAATTTGATTTACTTTTTATTTTTGTCAAAACTTATTACTAAGGTTTCCATATCTCTTCTATTTTTTATATTTATTTTAGGTGAGTTTGACAGAGGAAGTGTCTATGTTTATGCAAACCTTCATTGCAAATTTTGATATAATATTACAGTTATTAAAGCCCTTTCTAAGAATATATATATATATATATATATATATATATATATATATATATAATACTATTCTGTCTACCTCCTCACATCAATCAATGGTCGGGTTCTTACACCCGTACCATGACAAAAAATGTTTTCAATTTTTTAACGTGTCTGTGAAGTCCAGTGTTGGTTTTTTATATGTTTTTTATATGTTTTTTTAAGAATTTCAACAACTAAAAAATCATAATTTTGAAATATAAGAAAATGAGATCTCTCCATTGTAGTGGTATTTATAAATTGACCATAGCTCTGATGATGGCTTTGTAAAGCCGAAAGCGCTCAGCTAGGAACTGCTTAAAATATACACACTTCAAAAATACTTTTTTACATTTTCTTTTGATAATATATATATATATATATATATATATATATATATATATATATATATATATATATATAATACAGATAACGACATTGTTTTGTTGACAATAGGAATTAAGATTTATTGCAATCCCATCTCTACAGTATATTTATTATAATGCTCTAAAAGTTAATAGCAATGCAAATAAATAAGTAAGTAAATCAGTAATATGCTTTATATTCAGGTTATTTATATTATATCCAGTCATTGAAAATTGTACAAATTTTATGGACAAAGCTTATAACAATAAAACAAGGAAGAAGAAAAAGAATCAGAATAAAGGTGCAGTCTCTCTTATGCGATTGTCGCATGCGTTCGACGCAAGCAGCAGTCGCAGGCGACGCGCTGTGCACTGCTCAAATGGTAACTTTATGCAAGCGGTCTGCTTCATGCGTCCGACGCAAGGAATCGCATGCGTCTGCTGCATCGACTGCATATGATAGCAGTGGTCTGCAGCGACTGCATGCGTTTATTTCATAAAACACTAAATAATTTAACATAGAACACAGTTAAATATCAGCTGTTGTTGTCTATTGAATAGAATTGAAAATTTGTAGGTTATCAACATCTGATTGTGTTTACGATTGGAAGGTATTGGTTTTGTTTAGAGTTAAACTTTAATTTTTTAAATTTCAAAATGCAAGCCAACAATGATGCTAAACTAATCGAGCTAATTTCCGAGAGACCAGCTCTCTACAACCCATCCCATAGTGAATATAAAGATATAAATAAAAGAGAAAACATGTGGGAAATAATTGCAGCCAGATTTGAAGACAACAAAACAGGTGTGTACATAAATTATAAATGTATTAATTTTCATTGAGCCACATAAAAAATTAAAACACTGAGGGGCATCTGAGTATAAAATATTGGAGATCATAATAATGAAGATGCACGTGAATGAAGGAATACATTTTATAGGCAATTCTATTCATTTTCTTCCGTTGTGTTTTCATTTTAATCTCTAACAATTTCCTTAGTAATCCCTTACTTCATGTCTATCAAATCATTTCATTAAAAATTTATCTTTTGACATTTATCTTATAAAGGGTAGAATGTTTTCCTTGTTCCAAAACAATTTTGTTACATTCTTCCTTTACAATGATCAGAATTTTATAATTGCAAATATTCATTATTTTCCTTACATATAATAAACAAAAATTTCCAATAACCATGTTATACTTTTTGACAAATATTTTGACATTTTTTATTTATTTGTTCTAGTCTTTCAATATTTCTTCTTAATTAAAAATGTATTGAATTATACGCATCTTAATCATTATTTAATCTTGTAGGGGAAGACTGCAAAAAACGATGGAGGTCCATTAGAGATACCTGGAAACGTTTAAAAAGGGAGGGCAAATTTAAGACGGGATCTGCTGCTACAAAAAAAAATAACAAAAAGATGTGGCATTTGGCTCCGTATCTAAGTTTCCTAAATAACGTTGATGAAGAAAGGAGTACCATTGGAAATTTAGGAAATGAGGAAGACAGATTTTTAGAGAATACACTTGTAGAAGACATTTCCTTAAAAGAAGAGTGTATTTCTATAGACGAAACAAAAAACACAAATTCTAATAGTGCTGCTTCTACCAGTGGGCAGATGTCCCCATGTGCACCATCTACATCGGTAGATCATTTAAAGAAAACCCCTTCAAAAAAAAATATACTGGGCTTATTGGAGAATTCCCAAAATGAAAGGTTAAAACTGATAGAGGCAGTCTCAAAAGTGGAGAAAAAGGATGATGTTGACCTTTTTTTTGAAAGTATTGCCCTATCAGTGAAACAATTACCCAGGCATGCACAAACAAAAGCCAAAATGCGCACCTTGGCACTTTTACAACAATTGCAAGAGGAATACGGAAAGGAGGAAGAGGAGATTGAAAATTTTTAATTTTAGTAATAGTAGTTTGTAGATTTTAATAATAAATATTTTTCTTTGTCATACTATTTAGTTCCTTATATATTAGTGGTAGTGTCCTTTGAAGTAGATATTTAATATGTGACAATTTCTGAAGTAGTTCTTAACTTCATATAAAAAGCATTAAGACACAATTAAGCTATATCAGTTACAAGCAACATTTAAAAAAGTAAAAGCAAACTAAAATTTCCATTTTATTGACCTTTTTGCCAGTCCTGAACTCATTCTCAAAATATTTTAGGAATGAGCTCTGGACTCGACATTAAAATATCAACAAAAATGTGTAATTTACTTTTAGTTTTCTCAAAGTTCTTTGTGACAAACATAGCACATCTATGTTGTAAGATATCTATATTCATAACCATTTATTGGAGCAGTACCTATACTTAAAATTTGTTGTTTTTACACATTTACTACCAATACACTACAATATTATCTAAAATGATCTTTTTATTGCACATTTTAATTTCCACTTGGGAAATAATTATCATACAACATAAATAATTTATTGACTTTTTAGTTTGATAGCAATTTTTGATCTGGAAATATAATTCTAAATAACATTATGGTTTTCCCTGTAAGTATAGTAAATATTAAAAGTTTATAGTAATAATTGTCATCCACCTTACTGTACAAAAAAAAACAATGATTTATCATGTAACATTTTATTGATCTATTCTATTTCCCTCTGCCCTATTTTTCTTTCTTGCCATTCCACTTTACCCTCAGTCACAAAAAACTGTTTAAATTCGTCTCGTACACTAAAACCTTCAGTTTGTGCAAAACCTCCACTTCTGTTCAAAGGAGTCATGTTGTTTATGCTTCTACCAGCTTCATTGCAGTGCTGAGAAGATATTCTACCAACATCATTTCTAATTAAATTATGTAAAAGACACGCTGCTAGAATTAAAAAATCACAAGTTTTTGGTTTAACAGCGATTGGACTGTAAAATACTCTAAAAACTTGACTGAGAAGTCCAAAAGCATTTTCAGCTACCCGTCTAGCTCTGCATAGGCGATAATTAAATACAGCCTTTTGAAAATCCCCCTTGGCCTGTACTTTATTGTAGGGCTTCATTAGATTTTTGTGAAGCCGAAAAGCTTCATCCCCAACAATTACAAATGGCACAACTCTCTCTGAGCCAGGCAATGCAGCATCTTGGGGGAAGTTAATATTATTCTCATATAATTTTTTTCCTAATGCAGACTTGGTAAATATGCTACTATCACCCTCTCTGCCATAGGAGCCTACATCAACAGCTGTAAATTTATAATCTGCATGCACAATGGCTAATAGAACTATTGAAAAATAATTTTTGTAATTAAAAAATTGAGAGCCAGTTCTGGAAGGGCAAAC